TATATATATATATCTTCACAAACAGAACTGCCCGGTAAACCGTACGCAGAGAGAGAGAAGAGGAGAACATATATATATATATATATAGCCTCCTGATGAGTCGGTGAAACTCCGACGAAACAGTTTGTCACAGCCCCTCATTTGTTGTCCTCTTCTCCCTCTCTGCCTACGGTTTACCGGGCAGTTCTATTTGACGATATATATATATATATTCAGCCTCCAAACAGAGCTGCCCAGTAGGCAGAGAGGGAGAGGAGGAGCTGCCAGGTAAACCGTAGGCGGAGAGGGGGAGGAGGACAACAAACGAGGGGCTGTGATAAACTGTTTCATAGGATATATATATATAGGGGCTCGTTTGACACACTCCTCGGGGTGTGATAAACTGTTTCATAGGATATATATATATAGGGGCGCGTAAAGTCCCGGAGTCCCGGAGGAATTGTTCGTTCCACCTATCCTCGGGGATGCAGTCGGCAAAAAAAAAGTGAAACACTCCGAAGGAAATTCCTTGGGCTCCGAGGATTCCCCAACCATTTCTTCCTTTTGCCCAAGGGACCTCACGAGGTCCCTTGGGCAAAAGGAATCCGCGTTTCTCGGAGAGGAGCGGGCACATGGGTAGAGAGACGTTACAACCGAGAATCTGGATCGTGGCGGCACCCTATTGGCTGAAGGCCTCAAACACATTTGATTTTTTTTTTTTTTTTCTTGTCTGACATTGTTCGAAGGAAATGTCCTCGGGTGACGTCCCCAAGGGGCCTCGTCCCACTACGTTCCATTTATGCTTGTACTCCGCCGTGTTCGACCACGTGCGGCCGTCTGTGACATGCGTGAGTCGTTGATCATTTCATGTATCCACTGCTAGTGTGGATTGTCTTTGTTTTCGTGGATGCCGCTTCATGTTGGCCAGTAAAATCTTTTTCTTAACCATTTGTTGGCCATTTAGTTGGCCACTTTGCGTTGGCGCGAAGCTTCAATACTATGGCCCTCGTTAGACCCTCCTCGAAAATCCTCAGGAATGTCGAAAGTTATGGTTAAACCGCGTCCTAAAAAACAAAAATCCTTGAAAAAATGTGAAAACGCTCCCAAGAGATTTCCTTGGGTCCCTCGGAATCCCCAGCCATTGCGTCCTTGGATTCAAGGGGTCCTCGAGAGGTCCCTTGGGCTCAAGGATCCGCGATAGACGGGCCCTCGTCGAGCGTGCGTCGTGACGGGAAGTTTCTGTTTTTGCTGGTGCACATGACGTCCGTGGTCCATCGGGCGGACAATATCGGCTTGCTACCGGCGGGAGGTCACCAACGGCCTTCTGGTGTTACCGTTCGCGCGTACACGGCCGGGGGTCCTGCTTCGGGTGCAACAGACGTCGGAGCGGCGGGGTTCTCCTTCTGCACTTCGTCGGGCGTCGTGTCCAACGGTCGAATATTTCGAAATGTGTTTTACGTGCGGGGTGTGATGTTGTTGCCGGCTGCCCCGTTTGTTGCCATTCGCGTGCGCGTGTGAGGGTTGTCCGTTCGGGTGGTCATCTACACGTGGTGCGTTTCATGGCAGACATCTTCYGGCGGCTACCGCTCCTGTTACTAGCATCTCTTCTGCTGCTTCTTCTCATCCTTTTGCGCGCCTTCGTTGTGACGCGGCCTCCTGGGCGTAGACAGAGACGACAAGTGGATAGGAAGACGACGATGGACAGACGGGACAGCTCCGTCGGCCAGCAAAGACGTGTGATTGATTTCTCCATTCCTGATCGGCCCCGGTCTGGCCATCGACCTGCCGCATATGACCCGTCCTTGTACAGTCATCTTCCACCGCACAAACATCCGCTACCGCCGGATCCGGAGGACGCCTGGGTTGAGGATCTGTCGCACACACTTCCTCAGGGGAGTGGATCTACGCAGGAGTGGACGAGCAGGCAGTGTCAGCAGAGGGAAGCAGGGACGACGCGTGAGTCGTTCACCGCATTGCTGGAGGAGGGTGTCGACAACGCCGCCACGAAGCTTGTGGACTTGGATTTCGGATTGTGCAGCGGGAGTGGTGCAAGTGGTCCGATCCACGGCGGAGGGGTGGTGGGATCGCCAACGTTGGGAGGAGGATCGTCCCGTGTCGATGGGCCGACGAATGGGTGTCGTCCACCGGTCCCGAGTTCCATGGGCGCCGGGCCACTTGGCGAGTTGTCAAGGGCAGTGACACCCATCCGCCTGTCGGTGTCTTCGCCTACAATGCGGCAGAGGGCGACCGCAAGTGCTGCAATCAATGAGGGGACTCCACTGGAAGACATCGGGAGGCAGGCGTGGGAGAACTGCCACCTACAGATGCGGCGTGCTGCCACAGAGAACATAACCACCGGTGTGTCCAGGCTTCGTGTGGGGAGCGACGTGGATGCGGACGACAACCGTCGGGCGAGTGGGGACGAGTCTCCGGATTACCGTTATGAAGAGGACGCGGAAGACAGTGAGGGGCTGGAGATCCGACCCGTGGCTGCGCGTGGTGGGCGGAGGGGAGGACGCGGACCTCAGCAGAGGAGCGAGTCGCATGGTGGTCGAGGATCAAGGGCTCCTGTGGGCGACAAGGGTGGCAAGCACCCAGCTTGGAGTGTGGAGGAGATGCTAAAGTTCGCTCGAGCGAAGCGGGATCAGCAAGCTCATTTGGAGGGAATGCCACACAACTACGGCCGCATGCGCAACAGGGAGTGGAAGCTGTTGGACCTGCAGAAGCGGCTGGCGGAGGTCGAAGTGGACAGGACAACGGACGACATAGGGAAGAAGTGGGACAACGTCTTCCACCAGTACAAGAAGGTGCAGCGTTACCAGAACATGTCCGGTGGGAAGAACTTCTTCACATTAACTCCTGCAACGAGAGCGGACGAGGGTTTCAACTTCCGAATGCCGCCAGCAATGGATGGTCACCGCCAGGTGGCCGTTGGTGGAGAGTCCTCTGCTGGTGGAGAGGGGGGTGATGGCGTTGACAAAGATGTGGGTTCAGCGCGGGAGACAGGGTTCAGTGCAGGGAGCACGGGCACTCCAGCGAAGAGGAAGAACATGCGGCAGCAGACCTTCGACGCCATCGCCGAAGTCATGGACAAACACGGTGCATTGATGGCGGACACGGTAGAGGGTGCGAGCAAACGGCAGTGTAGCATCCTGGAGCGGCAGTGTGACATCCTCGACCGGGAGGTTGAAGCCCAAAAGCAGCAGTTTGACATACTGGAGAGGCATTACACGGCGTCCGATGAGGCGAACAGGATGATGTGCACGGCGTTGATGGAGATTGCCAGAGCGATAAGGGATAGATCTTGATGCCGGTGGCGTGAGGTTTGTCAAGCCGTTGAAGTGGATTCGCCCGCGATCTGGCCCGTCGCGAAATGTGGTGCCGGTCCTCCGACAACGACAGAAATCTAGAAAACAAGGCGGGGGATGGTGTGCGCGATGGCCGTGTACCCTCGCGCACTTCGAAATGTTGAGTCGCTGGCTCTCCAGGGCAGGGCCGTCCATTCCCCGGACCCAATTGTCCCTTGGTATTTGGGGTGGTCTCCCCCGATGCGGAATGGGTGATCGTCGCTGTCGTTGCGTGGAGGGGTGTGCTAGAGGCCGTCCGGGCGGGATCTGCGCGCCGAGGGAGGGAAAATGTCACCGCGAGCACTATAAAGGTCCGCGCGAGCGCTATCTTCTCCCAATCTTTTGCTTCTCGACTGCGCGCAAGGCCACGCGTGGGGTTCCCGTTCAACTGCGCGGGGAGCTGAACATCGCCCGCGCAAGACGATCCCTGGCGACTTCCTCTCGTGCGCTGCGGCAGTCCGTTTTCGTTCACGGGGCGTGCGCATCCGACCGTCAGCGAATGGCGCCATGTGGCCAGCAGAAGGCGAAACGTCCACACGGTGGTTCCGGCAAGCGGGTGCAGGGCAAACAGGAAGGGGCCACATCCCAAAGTCGAAGAAGCTCCGCGCGGGAGACGGGTTGGAAGGAGAGATGGGGGGTGACGGGGGAGAGGAGGAGACGCCTATGGACATCACTTCTAAAGAGACGCCTATGCTCGGGTTCGGGCGTGACGGTATGAGCAGGCAGCGTATGCTTGCGCTCACCAACCTTGGCGTCCCGACGTCCACGCGCGGCGGCAGTGGCAGGACGGCTCGTGCGCAAGGAGTTTCGTCCGGTGACATTCTGCCACAGAGGGCCGTGGGTTCTGCATATACCATCGCATCCTTGTCCGAGCGCGGCGAAAAAGCTCTGGTAGGTGAGTCTCCATCGCGCCACGTGAAGGCGTCGAACCCGACGATCGTCGCCGCTTCGCCGAGGGATGTGCTTCAATCCGCGCAAGCGGCGAGCGCCGCTGGCCATGCCGCCACCCTCGGTGTTGGAGAAAGGCGAGAAGATAGGAGGGTGGAAGAGGCGGGGAGAAAACAGGAGAGGAGGGAGGAGACTCCGCGCGGGGAAGAAGAGGACGACCAGCCTCTGAACGCGAGGAAGAAAAGGTCCCGCCAAGAGGAGGAGTTGGAGGCGAAATCGAGGCTGTGGGTAGACGGCAAAGCGTTCTGGGCAACCGGCCCCGGACGGATGATTGCGGACGCGGTGCATTCCTGCGCGGACTACTTCTGCGCGATCGTCAATGGAGATGCAGGCGCCAGCGCTCCGCAAGGCCTCATGATGCCGCCCCCCGAAGTCCCGCGCGTGCGGATCGAAGATGGCGCGCAACGAGAGCCAGCTCTTAGACGGGCGAGACGAACGGAGAATGTCGTAATGCGCATTATCCACGGGTGGATATTCAGGTCCTCTTCAAGGTTCGATGGTTTCGCCCGCGCGGAGTCCTACGTCGCCACAGATTACCCCACCGACCTGGCGAGAGCAGTTTGGCAGAGCTTCGAGTGGTCGAGGATAGTGCCTCCCGCCGTAGTTTACCACACGGTCGCTTTGAAGATGGACATCCCAGTGTGGTTCGCCGGGGCATATATCGAGAATAGGCCGGAGGACGATGACATGGCCGCGCACCAGGAGGCGACTGTGATGCATCTTGCGTCATGCTTCCACGACGCGCTTCGGGCCGGGCAGTGGTGGGACGGCGATAGATTGTCACACCAGAGACAGAGCTGAATCGTGGATGCTTTCCGCCTGCTTCTCGCCGCGTGCGTGTGGATCATGCGCATGGGAGGCGACGATGCGCGCTCCTACGACGAGGCGTCTTACTACGCGCAGCTGGTGGCGAAGTTGACTCTCGTGGCGGCGTGTTCATCGTCCTTCAACTGGCGCCGCCATGTGATGCACTCGGCGAACGAGGTCTTGAGTCGCCTGGGGAAGCCACCGTTGACGCTGGGCGCTTGCCCTGACTACATCCCGGACTGGGCTTCGTGCGGAGTGCGGTACAACTGCAACGCTGGTCTGGCGGACCCCGACGTCGCGGCGAGAGTGGACTGGATGGGGACGGGACCTTTTGAAGGCGATCGAAAGGAGGACGGGACAGATGACCAAACGGGAGCGTAAGTGTCCTCAATATGGCCTTCTTGCATGACAAGGAAGAAGGTATCGCCCATATAGTGAAGTGGTCCCTCATCAAGGTTTCGACATGGCGGGAAATGGAAGTGCCGGATCGGCGGGGGGTGGATTGGATGGGG